CTATATATGTGAGTAAAACAACATTTTCTAACATTAATTCAAATATAACATTCTCTTTAGACAAGTATGTTTGTAGTGGGAGAAAAAAACTGTATACATCATCCCACTCACAATACATTAAACAAAAATATATATATAATACTAAAACATAATTAAAAGTGTCAGTAAATATATGTTTAATAAAACATATGTGGCAGCAAAAATATGTCAGTAGTGAGTGACAGACTTGTGACCTGCACGTTATCGGTGACGAGCAAAAAATGCAACTGTCACCAATATATGTCTAAGTTGTCTCCGAATATTTCATGATATACCAGGGCAGTACAAACAATGAATCACAATTTCTGCTTTACACTTACACTGTAGATTGTCATCCTCGAAAGACACCCCCCCCCCCTTCCTTCAATTGTTGATCGACAAAAGTCAACGTTTCCTAGTTTTTTAATGCGTCTCGGAAATCAATGTCTGGGGATATCACAAGTGGGCCACAGCAAATTCTCTATGATTTCTTCCACCGTTTGAAATTAGCTAACTAATGTTCTTCTTCTTCTGCATTTGCTCTTAAAGGTGGTTGATACACTGTGTTATAGTATACAGCTAGGCTGCGATATCTGCGTCTTTTGACTCCACACATGTGATTTCAGCAAACTTTGAATAAGTCAAGTGACAGCCATAATAATCCTTTGAGTTGATCATTGAACATACACACACTGGTTTGTGCTGACAGCTAGTCTAAACCCATCTGCTCCTCTATACAGGGAAACGTGTGTGTGTCAATTTATTCATCCAGCTTTTCATTCATGTGCTAATTCAAGAAATATAAATAATACAAATGTAGGAATAACCTCACTGTAGGTACTATTCAAGTGTGATGTCATGGGGGCTGTGATATTGTTAATTAGGGAAGCACATTGTTATCTTGGGGTATGATATTGTCATCTGGGGTGTCATATGTTTAGGGTGTAATACTATCATCTGGGGTGTCATATGTTTAGGGTGTAATACTATCATCTGGGGTGTCATATGTTTAGGGTGTAATACTGTCATCTGGGCTGTCATATGTTTAGGGTGTAATACTATCATCTGGGCTGTCATATGTTTAGGGTGTAATACTATCATCTGGAGTGTCATATGTTTCGGGTGTAATACTATCATCTGGAGTGTCATATGTTTAGGGTGTAATACTATCATCTGGGCTGTCATATGTTTAGGGTGTAATACTATCATCTGGGCTGTCATATGTTTAGGGTGTAATACTATCATCTGAAGTGTCATATGTTTAGGGTGTAATACTATCATCTGGAGTGTCATATGTTTAGGGTGTAATACTATCATCTGGGGTGTCATATGTTTAGGGTGTAATACTATCATCTGGGGTGTCATATGTTTAGGGTGTAATACTATCATCTGGAGTGTAATGTCACTGTTTAGGGTGTAATACTATCATCTGGAGTGTCATATGTTTAGGGTGTAATACTATCATCTGGAGTGTAATGTCACTGTTTAGGGTGTAATACTGTCACCTGAGTTGCTGCATTATCTTGTTCATGTAGGGTGTAATGTCATTGTCTACAGCTCTGCGATTGGCTGTTTTGGTAGCTGTTTTTGAATTAGAACTCAACTGGGCCAATGGGCTGTTTTTTTTTTAACTGTGTTTTTGTATGAACTCAACTGACTGGCTGTTTCTGTATGAACTCAATTGATGGGCTGTTTCTGTATGTGCTTAACTGATTGGCTTTTTCTGTTTTTGTATGAACTCAACTGATGGGCTGTTTCTGTATGCGCTTAACTAATTAGCTGTTTCTGTTTTTGAATGAACTTAACTGATGGGCTGTTTCTGTTTTTGCATGAACTTAACTGATGCACTTTTTATGTTTTTGTATGAACTCAACTGATGGGCTGTTTCTGTATAAGCTCAACTGATGGGTTGTTTCTATTTTTGTTAGAACTTATTTGATGGAATTATTCTGTTTGGGTATGAATCAAACTCATCGGCTGTTTATGTGTGTAGCAAATTCTGATTTATGACAAGAAATGGAACTCATGGTTATTTATGGTCGAATGAAAATGTCAAGTTTGTCTCCGAATATCCTGAAATTGTGACCTCTGAGTAACCTTAACTAAGTTCTCACTCTGTATGAAGTTCCAAAAATACCTCATGAAATATTCGTACAGAAATCCCACTTCAAAAGTGAGGGCATACAGAATAAGAGAGATGTCAGGGTTTTGTATGGTACATGAGAATGCACACAATACCAGATGTTACATACAAGTGTTAGTTTATATGAAACAGAATATGGTGTTAGATAAGTCATGGTCTTTCCGTGCAGTTTTACGTATGGTATAACAAATCCATTTCCATATATGTCTGAGTATATGTCATGGGGGAGTAGTCAGTGGATAAATACTAGAGTATGTGAGCCAGGGTTGAGAATGCATTTTTGTGTTACCCCATTACCTCTTGGAAAATGTTGTGCACAGTTGTAAACCTTCACAACACATCATTTTATTAACTCGTAACATTTGGAAACGAATCATTTAGAAAATGTCAATCATGGCTGTGAATATTATTAATGCATTTTTATGTTATCCCGTAACATTTGTTATCTTCTGGAAATGTCAAACATGATTGTGAATCTTCGTAATGCATTGTTATATTATCCCGTAACATCTGGAAACTGTTATCGTTTGGAATATGTCAAACACATAATAAAACATTTTATAGAGTCAACTGTATTTAAGTCCTTGTCCAGCAGGCAACCTGATATACGTGATCCAAATTGCATACACTCACTCAAACAGTTCTAATGTATGTGATTCTGTTTGTCATACACACATTCAAACAGAAGGGAAATATGTGATCTTGCTCCACATGTGATCTAGTTTGTCACAGGTGTTTAAACAGGCCTGAAACATGTGATCTAACTTGACAAATGTGTATACACACACACACATATATATATATAAACTTTGCATATTCTCACAAACCAACTATAACACACTCACACATACTCTGTGTATATGAAACACACACACACACTTACACAAGACATAACATCCTCTTCTGCACTCAGATTTGAAAAAAAAACCCCAAAAAAACAGAACTCTGAAATATCACAACTAGAGAAGTGAACTGTCATAGACATCAACAGCCAAGGAATGATCTGACCAACTACACTATGTTTCAGATATTTGTTCTTTCTCCGAGTACATGTCTCCTCATGTGGGTTCTATGATGTCTCTTTATGTGGGTTCTAGGACCCCAGCATGTAGGGAGAAAGATCCACTGTCTCCCTAACAAGGACATCCTAAAAGTCAACTAATTCAGGGTGTTTCCTTCGAAGCAATAGGGCATCTGCATGAGAAGCAGGAAACCAACAGTCTGCATTAAAAAAATCAGCAGACCTGAAAAATTGATGTGCATGGAAAACTCAATTTCTGGTAAAAAAAAAGAAAGTCTAGGAGTGGTCGAATAACCATAACTGTCTGTCAAAGTTTAGAGCCAGTGAAGGCAAAGAAGAAGTAGTAGTACACTGCAAATCATACGTTATGGCTACACCTCAGCCCCACAATACCAGAAGCCATATGTAATAGTGGTGGGATGTTCATATTAATTATGTGCCTTTGAGATTACCTTTACTGTTACAGGGCTCTTTTATAATCAGAATCATTTAAAATTTACTTTGATAAATTAAGTAGTGAAAACCTGTGTGGAAACTGCAGAGATATTGTCTGACTGACAAGGGGATGTTAGTATAAAATTTATTTCCCATATAGAAAGTGACATTCTACATTCTTTGGAAAATGAGACAACTGGAGTATACAGTGGTGGTGGAAAGCTGAAAGGGGGAGGAGGGGGAAGGATGCAGAGGCAGACCAAGAGGCAAGATGATGGACAGTCTGACAGTATAGGATGGGAGATGATCAGAAACAATTTAGAAATAAGCTAGAAAAACTGACATGATTATCAACACCACAAGGAATGGACTAAGAAGAAGACATAAAGCTGCAAAATAATTTTGATATTACTGCTCTATCAAAAGATGGTTTTTGTGAGCTCGTAACAGGGCATAAGAGAGAGCAATTTTATACAGATACAGCAATAACAGAACCAGAATTTGACCATGCAGAAGATGGACCTCAAAAATATCAGAGACAATGAAAAGTACTATATACAAAGCGAATACAAGGGCACGTTCCAGAGATCTCTTCCTGCCCTGACGCTGCAAGGCATTCCAGGAGTAGAGAACAGAAGAAGTAATAATTGTGAAGAACTGAGAGAGGAGGGAAAATGTTAATCACTGGCAAACTTTATTACAGACAGAAAACATACATGGCTTGGCCAGGTGTACAGAATACCTGGTGACATGGTGAGGGCGGCTGACAGACGGGAGACAGAAAAAGGAGATGGGGGATGAGCTAAGGGAATGTGCAGAAGGACAGCAGAAAAAGAAACTGAGGAATGTATAATGAGATATCAGAGGTCAAAAAGCAGCAGACCTGCAGTAATGGAGACAACTTGTGAATGTCCTATGTGTCAACAGTGACATGAAGAGGACATAGAAAGATAGATTAGAGCAGGTAATCAGGGTTTCCTTTCCTTCTGTTTAATCCAGACTTCAAATGGTTTTGAAAACATGCAACAAGCTTTAACTAATTCCACTATTTTACTGCAAAAGATATATTTTTAGAGCATGCCCCGTGGCATTTTTCTGTAAAAGATATAGTTTTAACTCCTTTGATACCAAGGAACATATCATGCGTTGATTTATAAACAATTTGACCGAAAGAGTTTAAGCGTGAAAATTATGTAACAAAAGTTACTCTAACATACTTTTAAAATTTACATTTATACAATACATTATTATGCAAATGTGTAATAAAGTTACCCTACCATGGTGTTTACCTGTACAAACATGGTTTTTGAGAATATGTAACAAAAGTTACTCTCTCATGGTGTTTATCCACACAATACATGGTTACGTGAGCAAGAACAAAAGTTAACAGTCATGATGCCGATCTGTACAAGCTTCACAATTCAAACAGGTAAGAGCTGTTACCCCAACCAGTCTTCCATCATTCTTGGACTCAAAATCTAGACACAATGTAGGCAAAAAGCCCCACAATTCTTGAGTCAACTGAAAACCCAGCTCCACAGAGAAAAAGGAAACGTGTGCAGACCACTCAAAGATACAAATCCACATGGTCCAGCTTGACGCTCCCAACGAACAATTCATGCAGGTACAGATGATCCTCCACAGGAAGCTGTGTGGAAGGTGATGAGTCTGTAGAGGCAGGAGCAGCACAGTGAGAGGGTGGATCTGAAGTCTGCCGTTATCCAGTGGTTGTGGCAGTGGGCTGGAGGAGTTGTTGTTAGTGCTCTCTTCCTTGTTGACCACCAGCTTCCTCATCTGTCTGATGACAGCTGTGGCATTGTAAGCTTGCTGGGGAAGAGAAACCACAGGAGGTCACAATCATGCATTCCAGGCCAAACTGTCACAACTAGGAGCACAATAATCTTCTCCATCTCAGGTTAATAACAAACAAAATCCCAAGCCAGTCAATAATTACTCACTGTTAACAACCAGCATCATACCAGGCCAGTGACAAACATTCCAGGTCAACAGTCGAAAACATGGATGGATGGATGGGATGGAATAAAAGCAAACAAAAATTTCAAACTTGGTCCTCTTTTAGTTGCCCGAAGGCCTGCTTTATCGAAAGAGAGGTGTCTTTGCTATCTGATTTGAGTTTGTGTTTCTTTGTGGCAATCATTTTCGCCTAAGTTTCGGTTTATTTGCAACATCATGTCCCTGTGTCAGCGCCATTTGGCTTGGCGGGCGGTTTCCAGTTTTTGGGAGTGGAACTAGCAGCCCTGAAAAGGGCTGCCATAACTGGTGACTTCAGGTGGTCTGGTAGCTCTGGATGAAAGTGTCTTTCAGGAAATTTGCGCCTCTGTTCTGCTCTAGCCTTGATCCAGGTACCATTGCTCCCATTCTTCTTCCTTTGCTTCTCAGCCCTCAAACCACTCTTTCCTGTTGCACGTCCGATTAATTACTCGATCATGTGCAGTCTTAATACGATCGCTTTCAGCCTTGATAGCTGCCTGCCTGATAGCTTCCTTTTTGGTCCTCTCTTTCTCCTCCAGCGTGTTTCTTGTTTGCGTCACTTTAGTCTGCAGTTTGTCGTTGGCCCCCTTGAGTTTGGTGTCGAAAACATGCCAGGTCAACAAACAACAACATCCCAGGTCAACAATCAACTACATCCCAGGTCAACAACCAGCAACATCCCAGGTCAACAACCAACAACATCCGGGGTCAACAATCAACAACATCCCAGGTTAACAACCAACAACATCCGGGGTCAACAACCAACAACATCCGGGGTCAACAATCAACAACATCCCAGGCCTGTGACAAACATCCCAGGTCAGCAACCAACAACCTGCCAGGTTAACAATCAACATCCCAGGTCAACAACATCCAAGATCAATGATACATATCCCAAGTCAATAACCAAAAACATTCCAGGTCAACAACCAACAACATCATAGGTCAACAACCAACAACATCCCAGATCAATGACAAACATCCCAGGTCAATGACAAAAATACCAGGTCAATGACAAAAATCCCAGGTCAACATCCCATGTCAACAACCAACAACATCCCAGGTCAATGACAAACATCCCAGGTCAATAAAAAACATCATAGGTCAACAACATCCTAGGTCAACAACAAACAACATCCCAGGTCAACAACACTCATGTCAGCAATAAGAGACAATTAAATGACATGAGTAAGTTACCTTCCACTTGGTTCTAGCAAAAGTCTTGAGCATTTGTGCCTTGACAGAAGCATGGATGTCCTTCTCCAGGGCAGCATTCCCAGAAATCCTGTGCAGATTAATCAAATCAATACGTCATGAGGCATACCACACAAACCGAACCCCTGCTTCTTGTCCGTGTTCTCATGTTATACTGTCTGTTACTACTGACATTCCCATGCATTCTGAGCTCCAATGCGGCAGCTATCACAAGCTACCTCTACTAGTCATTCCCATAAAAAGCTAGTTTCCTCACCAACATTAAGATACTGTATTGTTAAAAAAAAAAATTTCAACACCTTCTTATTCTTCTTGGCATTCATCGGCTGTAAACTCTGGAAGAAAGTTCTGGTTGTTCATCCACTCCTGGACTTTGGTAATGATCCAGAAGTTGGGTTTTGGATGCACATCCATTTTATAGGTCTAGCTTATGCCTGATGTAGTCTGACTTTGAAGGAAACATCACTAATTAGTCATCTCCTTTGACATCCTTGTTAGGGGCACAGTGGGTCCATTAATTGTTCTCCAAAATGGTACCCCAGAACCATACGTAGAGATCTGAATTAAATATCTACAGATCCCTGCACATAATCCATGAGTGAAAGGTGGTCATAAAAGAGCATGTTAAGTGGTGACTTTTGGGAAAATACACTGAAAATTAAATTAATTAAGAAGTGTACATCAATTTCCTCACAAACAGTCTATCCCCTGCTCAAGTTTCCATACCCGTCAGCTACATCAGTCTCTAGCCCTGCAAATATGGCAGACGTCCACTACAAGAGGCAAGAACAACACAAACAGATGGGGTAAAGTGACTCAGAATAACCTCTAGCTGTGGCCAGACTAGATAATATCTCTGAGCAGAACAAATTATGTCTGTGACTAGAACAGATAATATAAATAACCAGGCCAGATAATATCTCTGACCAGAACAGATAATATCTCTGACTAGAACAGATAATATAAATGAATAGGCCAGATAATATTTCTGACTAGAACAGATAATATAAATGACCAGGCCAGATAATATTTCTGACTAGAACGGACAATATCTGACTAGAACGGACAATATCTCTGACTAGAACAGATAATATCTCTGACTAAAACAGACAAAATCTCTGACTAGAACAGATAATATCTCTGACTAGAACAGACAATATCTCTGAACAGAACAGATAATATCTCTGACCAGAACAGATAATATCTCTAACTAGAACAGACAATATCTCTGACTAGAGCAGATAATATCTCTGACCAGAACAGATAATATATCTTGAGCAGAACAGATAATATCTCTATAACTAAAACGGACAATATCTCTGACTAGAACAGATATCTCAGAACTAGAGCAGGTAATATAAATGACCAGGCCAGATAATATCTCTGACTGTAGCAGATATCTTTACCCAGACAAGACCTTATCTCTAACTAGAGCAGATAATATCTCTACCCAGACAAGACTTTATCTCTAACTTGAGCAGACGAAATAATATCTCTGACTAAAGAATCCAATATCTCTGGCTAGACCAGACAGTACTCACCAGGGATGTGCTATTGCCTGCTTGCATGAGTATCTATCTTTCGGTTCCTTGCACATCAAGTGTCTGATAAAGTCTTTTGCTGCCAAATACAAAACCACAAACAAGCTAAAATACAACCCGGGAACACAGTCATTCTGAGTATAGTCCTGAGTTTTCCAAGTGGTGGCTACAAAACTTAAGAACTGACTGTCTATCATAACAGCAGAGAATATTGTGACTCTATTTGTGAATTACATATCTTGCTGTAACTCATTATCTACCTACCTATCCTACCTCTATGGGTTACTTCCAGCCCAGCATCTATATCCTGCAAGGATACACATACACAGTGTGTCTACTATTGAAGCCTGTGATACAGAATCTGTGATATATGTTATCAGAAATAAGTGATTGTGGTGCTGACAAGCTGATTAGTTAGTTCTATATTGATGACGTTTGTTAATGACTCCTGCAGTTTCAAACAGTGCATACAAATGTAGCCCCTGGCAGAACTAGCATTTGCCCGGAATTTAAAAAAAATGGCATTACCAGCCTTTGGGCCTCTGATGCTAAACCCCCTGGGACTCAAAGAGTTAAATCAGTAAATTGTCACCTTACACATCTCACCTGCATGTGCGTATATCTATGTGTGTCTATATATACATACAATCATCACATACACCTACTATATGTCTTTAAGAAAGCTGACACAATGGGTTAAAAGGTAGCTTCTGGTTTCTGACATAAAAGCTCTCTAGAAAGAACGAACGAACAACTGTACTGTTGAAGTAGTAGTTGTTGTTTCCATAAGAAATCACTCATATGTATGTTAAGTTAGTTGTTTATCCTTTACACAGGCAACAGCTTTGATGGGCTGGCTAAAACAGGAGAGGGTAGCCGACCTGGTTCTAAACCCCTCAGTGATTGGCATATTCCAACCCTCCATGCAAAGACTGGACTAGGCTGGTTGTGCGGATGAAACCTCTTACTGGTTCAACGGACAAGAAGGTGTTTACCAGCAGGCTCTGTGGAGAGCTTCGAGACGCCTTGGTCATCCAATGCACCTAGGTCTATTTTCAATTGTCTCGACATTGTCCTGCCATTGGATCAAGATGGACACAGGCGAGAGAGTGAGGTCGACGAATTGCGCAACTCTTTATCGTTAAATCCAAGTCCATGCAAAAGTCACTTTCATTCAGAGGAACAACACATGTACCCTTTACAGGACATTGCAGAACCAGTTTCAACACATCTTCATTACTCTTTTTATTATCTGTTCAGTGTTCTCACCATTCATCTATAAAACCACATGTCCGCAGCTTTCACATTATTCCGTCCATAATTCACTTTCTTATATCAGGATAAGATTTTGTGAAAGGCTGCCTTATCTGTATGCTACCTGAGCCCAAAAGGAAAGCGAACCTACCATGCATGTCACAAGAGGCAACCAAAGAGGGTTGGTGTAAGACTGGCTACATCATGACATAGAATACTATAGCTAGGGGAAACAAACATGAAGCCAGAGATTATAAACAAGCCGAGGGAGACCTTGGTGTGAGCTGGTTGAGAGTCTGTGGTCCATTGGGAGATGACAGGCAGATGTAAGTTCAGGTCACTAACTCTTTCACCATGCAGCCTGTGGGCTTTCATGTTCAGATTCTGTTTTGACAATGAGGGAGGAGTATGCGTGTGTGTGAGTGAATGTGTGTGCTCGCATGCGCATGTGTGTGTGTGTGTGTGTGTGTGTGAGAGAGAGAAAGAGAGAGAGACAGACAGACAGACAGAGATCCCCGGCAGACAGCTAGTCATTCTGTTAACAACAAACTATTAGGAGCACAATCTGTGATGATAAAGTCCCTGGGGTTATGAAGTCAATTATCTCGACTTTAGAACTTGGTGTATGTGTGTGTGCGAGAGAGAGAGAGAGACTGTGTACATGGTGTACGCATGCATGCGAATGTGTGAAACTTGCAGTCAAAAATCATCAGTCCCATTATCATCATCATCATGCTTACTGTAAACTATCATCCTGACTTACCAGAGTCAGAAATCTCATCCCAAAATGGAGAGTCAAACTCATACTGTGCTTTAAGTATCTGCTTGAAGAGTTCTGCGTCATTCTCATCATAGAATGGGGGGTAGCCACATAACCTGAGGAGATTGTTTGCATAAAATGGTCACAAGGTAATAGCAGATAACAGATACAGGTCTAAGTGAGTGGACACTGCAGACTCAACAAACGCTCATATAAATTAGCTATGGGCTAAGCAGCTTTCTGCCAGGGACTTTACGCTGACCTGACCCCAGAATATGTCTTCAAGACTGTCTCTTCCTGGAGGAGCTGCAAAACAGCATGGTGCCACACTCAGTAGGCCAGCAACTAAGCTTTGGGGAACCTAAGAGACCTCGAGCTGACATCACGGTTTATGGTTCACATGGATTAAGCTCAGGGCCAGTGATAGCTGAAAAATGTTTAAGTGTATGTAATTTCAAATATACTAGAAGCTCATGGTTTTATTCAATGTAATTATTAAGTCCCTTTCTTACACTACCTTACCCAAGAGTTATCTGAGAAAAAGGGTGCTCTGTGGAGTTACCAGGGGACCTGGCTGCCATTCAAACTCAAGGGAAAGGTGAGATGGATGTAGTCAGACAGTTAGTGGTACCAACGGAACTGGAACTCTTCGCTTTCTGCTGAAGATGGGGACGGAGCACTTATGGGAGTGTCCAGAGTGCTATGATGCTGATTCTTGATTAATAATTTAAACCAAAAAAAAAAAATCCAAGCAGGCTTCAGCAGACAAGATGGACTGTCATACTAGGCACATGGTGAATGGTTCGTCTAACGTTTACCTTTGCTGGGTCATAGATTGCACGGGTGTCTGAGGCTATGAGTGTGCTGATTATCTGGCTGACAATGGTAATTATGGTTGGCTGGCAATGGAGAGGAGTGATGTTATCAATGCCATGCAGGATGCTTATCGCAATGGCAGCCATGACTGTATCCCTGTCCAGGTTGGTAACAGTGTGCAACTTGAAGCTGCCTGAGATGAACATTTCATTAAGGGCAAAAGGTGTTTGAGATAAGAGCATCTACAGATCTGACCACAGTGCTGCAATCAAAGTCCTCAGTGATAATCAATTCCTGGTCCAAATTGGGGCCAAAAACAGACCCTTCCATGTGCCAGTGTGTCTTTTCAACCTGCCACAAAACTCAAACCCTTTAGTGACCAAAACACTCAAGAGAAGACACTCAGAAAAGTGTTAGGCGACAGTGACAAAGTAAAATTTGTACTACCTGAAAACAGTGGAAAATTAACGGACTCTGGTCCAAGTGTTGTTTTCTGGGGCCAACTGTGGTGGAAAATAGGTTGGGGTGGGGGTAAAAAAAAACACCACTGCCTGCCTAACAAGCATGTAGTATGATTTAACTAATTAGGGGTTTCCTTCTAAATCGAGTGCCTATGTCGGAGAGGCAAAGGACCAACAGCCTACATAGAAATAATCCATATCTGCAAAATGGAGGAACAAGACTTCAGTCCAGAACTGTCTGCTGGAATTTACAGCCAGTGAACATGAAGAAGAAGAAGAAGAGAACTGACTTTGGTTTGCTTAGGTTAAAGAAAGTTTACTGAGAAGTAAAGGTAGCTGTCATAATGTTGACCACATCACCATCATGTGCCTACTTGTCTTTAAAATATGAGTCCAGCATTATTTGCCTGATGCAGCAGAAGAACAACAAGGGTTCTTTATTGTTTTGTTTGACTGCTTGTAGTGTCCCAGCTCTCTCTTTGACCAATCTGTCAGCTCTCTCACTTTCCGGCACACTGGCAAGGAACTACAATATAATTCTACATCACTAATCTATTTTAGACAGTACATCACGGAGTTCAGTGCTTGGGATACTGCACTATTAAAAACTACAATAGGATATAGTCTTTAAGTTTATGAGTTTCTCGGTCAATCAATAAATTAGGTGTCACCTCCAAAATGAAACGAATCTACAACATGATCTGTCTTCACCCTGGAGGTGGGCAGGTAGGCAGGCCCATCCTACATTTTGCCTTTCCAAACACTCATCTTTCATACAGCCAAGACTGAGAACTAAGTGAATGACAAGAATGACACTTAACAGGCCACACAACAAGATGTACACCAGACACTGAAACTACTCACAAGATATAGGAGATGACACCTATAGACCAGCAGTCTACTTCCTTGCCGTATGGTTGCTGAGCCAGAACCTCTGGGGCTGTGCAAGTAGGAAGAGAAAGACACATCTCAAAAAGTGGTCATCTGCAGCCAGCCAACAGCAGACAGGGACATTTAACGTCAGACAGGCACAGTTAACAATGACAGACAGGCACAGTTAACAACAGACAGGTTCTGTTAACAATGGTAGTAGGCACAGTTACCAATGGCAGACAGGCACAGCTAACAACAGCAGACAAATACAGCTACCACTAGCAGACAGACACAGTTAAACAACATACAGGCATGGTTAATGATAGCAGACAGGCACAGTTAACAACAACAGACAGGTACTGTTAACAACTGCAGACAGGCACATTTAACACTGGCAGACAGGCATGGTTAGCATTGGCAGACTGGTACCGTTAACAATGGTAGATAGGCAGTTAATGAAAGGTAAGCACAGCAGCAATGGCAGACAGGCAAAGTTAACATTGGCAGACAGGCACAGTTAACACAGGCAGATAGGCACGATTAACTATGGCAGACAAGCGCTGTTAACAGAATATCTCTCAAGACCTGTTCATGTGAGCACATCAGGCTTAGACATTACAAGAGTGCCACTGGCATCTATAAAGTGCCACTGTCACTTGCAGATGTGCCTTTTCATCTACAAGTATGCCACCGACATCTACAAGTGTGCCACTGATCACAAGTGTGCACTGTCATCTAGAAGTGTGCCATGTCTATAAATGTGCCAATGTCACTAGAAGTGTGCACTGTCATCTAAAAGTGTGCCACTGACATCTATAAATGTGCCACTGACACTTGCAGATGTACCACTGACATCTATAAATGTGCCACTGACATTTATAAATGTGTCACTGACACTTGCAGATGTACCACTGACATCTATAAATGTGCCACTGACATTTACAAATGTGCCACTGTCCTCTACAAATGTGCCACTGTCATCTACAAGTGTTTCACTGTCCTCTACAAATGTGCCACTGTCATCTACAAGTGTGCCACTGTCATCTACAAATGTTACACTGACCTCTAGAAATGTGCCACTGTCATCTACAAGTGTGCCACTCTTTCTCCCTCTGTTTAGTATACCACTGACATCTAAAACTGTGCCAGTGATACCTACAATGTGCTACTAACGTCTACAGCTGTACCACTGACATCTACAGCTGTACCACTGACATCAACAATTGTGCCAATGACATCTACAACTGTGCCAAACATCTACAGCTGTGTCAATTATTTTCCCTCTGTTCAGTATGCCCTTACATCAAGAACTGTGCCACTGAAGACAACTGTGCCAGCAAAAAATGCGCTACTAACGTGCTGTACCACTAACATCTACAGTTGTGACTTCTAGCTAAGACATCCGTGTCATGACTCTTTATGTAGTAGTTGCAATTACAGCAAGCAAATAGGAAAAATGGGTGGAGAAAGTTGTAGTTTGTAGTAGTAGTAGTAGTGGCGGTAATAGAGTAGTAGTAGTAGCAGCAGTAGTAGCAGCAGTAGTAGCAGCAGCAGCAGCAGCAGCAGCAGCAGCAGCAGATGTAGCAGTAGTAGTTGTAGTATCAGCAGTAAATGTAGCAGTAGCACTAGTAGTAGGAGATAGGTTACTGCTGCAAAAAGAAACATACAAGCTGCATGACGATGGCAAAGCTTGTCTAGAGCACCAAACAGCAACTGCATGTATTAAATGGCAAGCAATCAATGTGTGCAAACATGCATGCCACTCTGCGATAATGACAGTTTATCTCTAAGACAATCAATTGCTGACACTAGCACCCATCCCTGTCACACAACCACTGCACGACACCCACTGTCACTGCTGAAGAACTACTACTGCAGCGAGGTTTTTTTTCTTCTTCTGGTGTGACAGTGGGCGTGGCCGGCCTGCCCTGAAATCTTTATTACATGTTACACTGATGAGCCTCGACTCGGAAGCTGACGATATCACCTGTCTCGGATCAGGGTTGTGTTCTTGTCTCGATTATACCGTGTGGCACAGTTTCTGGCAGTCGAGCAGCTGGCAAAGAAAACTATATGTGCCCATACCCAACTAATTCTGCTGGGAGAGACCCAGCGCCTGTCAGTCTTGAGTGCAGAGACGTGGATTCTACAGCAGCATCGTGACCAGGGGAAGTAACTGAAAACGTGAACTTGTCGTCGCATGGCAGGAAAGCCTGGTGTGTGTGTGTGTGCGCGCGCGCGCGTGTGTGTGCGTGTGGGTGGGTGGGGATGGATCTGTCTGCAGCATCTCAAGGTAGTATTCTCAGAGTAAATGCCATCAGTGGTAATGAAACATCCGCACAGGATAGAGTGGAACGGAGGCCCTAAATGACGTATGCCAGGACACATGATGATGACAGATCTGATCATCGACGTGTCTGTAGTCCGCACTTGTCGGTGGTAAGCCGGCGTCAACACGTGTTGGTCCGTGCGGTCCGATAACACTCTGTGTATCTGCCTAAAGTTTAAACAAACAATAGTTAGTTGCGTATCCTTTTCATGACGTCGCAGAACCAACCCGGCATTATTTGGCTGTTGTGGTTTTTCTAGCTCTTTGAGTCCCAAGCAACGCATCATACGTTCCTACCTAGAACGCATTAGGATGCGCCGATTTTATGACTCTATTTACTATCCCCTGGGCCTGTGATGTTAAGCTCCCTGGGACTCAAAGAGCTAGGCAAATTTACGTCCAGCAGTTTGCCATTTCCTCTGGACGGTCGGCTTCTCGATACCACTGTCGAAACCAACGCAAGGCGCAGGGCCCGCAGCTGGGATCGAACCCGGCACACCGGCATTACAAAGCGCGTTGGCAACGCCTTAGCCACAAACAAACAAACAATATAACAGATAAAAGACAAGTATCTACACAAAAGGACCTTTTCCCGCATCTTTATACAAAAGGGAATATGTTAGACCTATGGGCACTTGGTGGGTGATGTAGTCAGCAACACGCAGGCCGCATTTACTTTGTTGCCAGTTCAGGCTGGGATTTGAGACCACGATCTTCGGATTAGCAGCGTCTAGGTTCCATACCAGCACGACTCCCTCCCCCACACAATTTCTTTCCACTGATCTCCATAAAATACACGTTACAGACAAACTTGCTAGCAGTTGCTCCCGAATCGCCCCCTCAGAGAGCTGCCGGACACAAATTAGGCTGACCTGTCTCGTATGCTCCAGATTCCTCCCCGCGGACGTGCCGTGTCCTGCTTCCCCGAGAGCCAAGTTATCAACAACAAAACCGCCGGGAGCTTGTGGCCAGCTTGCGCAAGATGCCTCACCAAGGACATGTGACAGCGAGCTTTTACTGCTGGCAGGAAACTATTCCAACATGCTGGGCAGCGGTGGTATTTACCTTGGCATGTTTACACATACATATCTCACAAGTGTCGGAACCCGAGGGCTCAGGCACCTCGAGGCCCCGACCCCAACACACGTGAGGGCTGCGTCCACACCTCCTCCCCGATCATCAAAATCGTGCTGCAGGGTAAGTAACACGACCCCCTTTTACATGTGTGCTCTTTCCTTTTTTTTTAAAATTAAGTACACGTTTATACACGTCATATTATTTAAAAAAAAAATTATTAATACTTTTTATTGGGGCAGTCAGCACATAATCATCTTCACTATTATTATCACTGGAGGCATAAAACACCCGAGGGCGCTCGTCCCGGAGCCATTTCTAAGGGATGGCGGTGGGGGCTGAGCAGCCACCCCTAAAATCCCTGGGATGTGTCTGTGGGGACGCCCCTGAAACATGTCCAGCTACCAACAAGGAGGAAAACAGAATGACTTAAGAAAATGAGACAAAAGGTGAGGTGATCAACAATATGAAAACAACAACAGAATGACATAAAAGACGAAAGTAAGGAAAAGAATATCAGAATGAATTAAAACTATATTATCACCAAAATAATGTGAAATAAAAAGAACAAACAGAAATCAACAACCTAATTAAATTAACAACACATAAACAATATCGCAGCCATGCTGTAAACGGGCACAACACATTTATGTCTTCGGATGGACGAAGTATTCTATACCACACAAGACAAGAGAATGGAGCATAAAATAGCAGCTGGTGAAGTTTTGGAGGCAGAGAAAACATGTGGAGGAAAGAACATGAATCACTGTCCAGCAATGAAACCACGAGCACCCACTGGTCTGCAGACAGACCTCTCTGCCATCAGCCCAGCGTGGAGTCCGTCTGTCACCAGGTCGAACCACCTCTCTGTTGCTTATTTTGGTGAGGTGATGGGTGTCAGGGGTTATATGGGGGAGATGATGTGACGGCGAGATAGGAAGGGGCGCTATAGCAGAATGCGATAAGACAGACTGAATAGGACAGAAAATTAGATATGATAGGGACAGTTTGGAAAGAATATGACGGCGAGATAGGGGCGCTCCAGGAGAACGCGAGTGACTTGGATGGAATAAGAGAGAAACTTAGAGGGGCAGCATGGAAAGAACGTGAAGATGAGATAGGGCGCTCTAGAAGAATGCGATGAAACATGGGCGGAACAGTCGAGACAATTATAGTGAGAGTGGTGCTGTAGAGAGAGAGAGAGAGAGAGAGAGAGAGAGAGAGAGAGAGAGAGAGAGAGAGAGAGAGAGAGAGAGAATGGATTGGAAAAGCCGGGGCAGTAGGGGGAGGGAGGGAGAGAGACAGAGAGAGAGAGAGAGAGAGAGACAGAGAGAGAGAATGGATTGGAAAAGCCGGGGCAGTAGAGAGAGAGAGAGAGAGAGAGAGAGAGAGAGAGAGAGAGAGAGAGAGAGAGAAAATGGATTGGTAAAGCCGGGGCATTAGGAGAGTGCATGGGATGGTCAGACACGAGTGGTGTAAAAGAAAGAAGGAAACGTGGACATAAAAGATAAAGGAGGAATTAAAATGAATAACACGGGCGTCAAGACAGTGCACACACAAGCAAAGTTGCAGGGTAACACTGATAAATGAGATTCAGAGGTGATAGTTGTACAAGCGACAAAAAGTGAGGGGAGGTATAAGTGATGGGTTGATGGACATACACA